TAAATAAGAGGAGATTAAGGACCAGAGGAAAAAGGGGGAAGAGAGGAGGGGTAGAGGGGTCGCCGCTCCGATCGAGAAATGGCGGGAAAAAGTGATTGGGTTGGGGTGGGGTCCACGCTGGGTTTGGGGGAAGAAAGGCGGGCCCCACAATTTGATCGCATTCAATTTACAGTTTGAGAAGAGAAGAAGGCGTTGCTTTTTCCCCTTTTGTGTTCCAGCCCACCTTCTCTTGCCCTTTTGTTGCCTCTTCCATGTTTCTCCTCTTTTCCCACACTTTTCCTCATCCTATTTTTTTTTTCAAATTTATTTTAGATTAATTAAAATATAATCATACAAGTTAAATAATGATAATACTTAAAAAAATTTCTTTAATTATTAATTGAATCTCAAATTTTAATTTAAACAGCTCAATTCTTATAATTTATAATTTATTGATTCTACATAAGTTATCCCTTAAACAGCTATATTCCCATAACTCATTAATCAATTAAATATAAGAACTGAATTGTTTTCAGTTAAAGTTTATAAATTGAATTGATAAAATTTTAAGAACTGAAAATTAAATTTTCTATCAAATTATTAAGAATTAGTTTGCAAATTTTATATTTTATGTTTTTATTTTTTTTTCTGTACTGGCTAAAAAATTAAACTACACTCCATATCACGCATAGAAATTATAGCATGTCTCAATGGCATATAAATATGATATTGATCATATCCTGATATAAATTATAGTTGACTTTGTGCAGTTTTTAATATAAAAACTAATTGAATAATTTAAATAAATTAAAAGAATTAATTAAGCTAGTTATTTATAATAGATATATATTGTCTTTTCTAAAATATCATTACTAATCAAGTATATTAATTAAAACTATCACTACTACAATGACTATTTGAGAAAAATAAATAAATATGAAAAATAAAATAAATTATGATCTTAAATTTAAAACAAAAATAAAAATTAAACAAGTCTTTATATTAAACATCAAGATAATATTTCATAATTAATTATTTAAAAAGGGTAAATAAGTATGCTTCAGTATAGATATGAAAATTGAAAGCTGGAAAGCATTTTGGTGAGAAATTGAGAAGGCGGCTATAACGGCGGTGGATGTGCAATCGAGAGTTACGGGCTACTGTAAAAGTAGGGGCCCAATTATGACGTCATTCCCTTTTACTTCTTCCAAAATTGGTGGTCACACGCCCTTCCACCACACTTCGTCCTAACCTTCTAATTCATTTTAGCTCATTTCTAATTTTCTTATGTTTGCATTCGGAATTCTTAAAAAAAAAAAAAAATTCCACTTTTCAAATCAGCCTTAACTTTTTAGGCAGAGTCATTCTTCTATCATTTTAAAATAATCATGTCTAAGATATTATTAAATACTAAATATAGATTTTATTTATATCAATTGTGAAAAATTAGTTTTTTTTGTTAGACTCAGTTTTTACTGGTAAATCAACCTCATATCATTTTCAACAGTTTAAATGAAATTTCTATCTCTCTTTTTTCCGGTCAAATATGAAGAACATCAAAATAATAACAATAAAATACAAAATTTTATTAGTAAGAAAGATCTGAGGTATTTTTACACATTGAAAGTACCGATATTCTGTGGGGATTTATATATAGAAATTATCAATACTCAAATTTTGATTTTTCTAACCAATAAAATTTTTAGATAAATGTTTCTCACATATTTTTCCTTTTTCTTCTTTATTGTTGTGCGCAGTTTAGTATTTTAGATAAAAGAACATGATATGATGTTTCCACCGTCATTTTCAGGAATCCCAATTTCTCTTTTGTTTGGACAAATATTAGCAATTTCTTGTCAACTGCTTCCAAACAAGTATATCAATCTCATCGTTATTTTTCTAGTAATTAAATTCAAGCACTAAATACTCTATATGATAACAAGTTATTCTGGATTCCTCTTCAAGGAAATTCAAGGATGATTTTTTATTTCATTTTACAAATAAATTATAGATATTCAGTTTACTGAATATTTTGTTATGTGTTTTTTGTTGCTGGCAATAAGAAAAGAAGGAATATAAACAGATTAATTTCATGTTAAACAGGGTTGAGATGAAGGGAAGAGAATATAATGTCATGATCTTAAAATCGTATGAATGTATTTTACATAATTTTGGAGAATTAACAACTAGAGTTAAATGTGCTTCTCAAATTTTAGTTAGCAATCTTTCAAACTAAATCATAATAAAATATATATTTCTCTGGGTAAAATATCACAATCACACAATTCAATTAAAATTAACCATACACATGGCTATTATATTCTCATTTATAACGTAAAATTAAAATATAATAAAATATAGATACGCTTTTTACTTCATACAAATTTAAGTGCCTCTTTTTATTTATGTAAATTATAGATATATAAATTACCTGCACTTTATTCTTTATAGTGTAGAGTCTGTAGACTTAAGATAAGTTGCCTAACAGTGACTGCTAAATTAATAAACATGCCATGTACATAAATCGTATCTTTATATATGGACACTGTGTTATATTTAAAAACTTTTAATAATGAATTCTTAATTTAATTTGATATATTGAATATTCATGCACAAAATTAAAACTTGCCATTTAAAGCCTTCATATCCTCTTGATATATTTGTAATAATGTGGTTTTGGATAATAAAGATTTCGTATTCAATGTGGCTAAGGAATTTGAATGCTCTTCTACTAGTAGTTTTTGTTCTGTTCACTGTGTAATCACTTAAAATTCATGCATTTTACTCTAATTTAGACTGGGGCAAAATAAAAATAAATTGAGAGATATTCCTAATGTTCATACGCCAAAATAATAAGGAAAGAATTAGCCCAAAAAAAAAAAAAGATATGGGATGATTAGTCCTAGAAAGAGACAAAAGGAGATTCAATCATCAAAGTTAAGTAAAATATATGTTTGATCATTTAAATTTATATAAAATTTTAATTTAATCACTTATAACGTGCTAACTCCAGTCTTAATTATAATATCTTATTTGTAGTTTACAAACAAAATATTATAATTAGGATTAAATGTAATATATGATAAGTACCCCCTCAATGTTAGTACTGCTAATCTAATAAAAAAACAATTATTTTCTTTTTCTTTTTTGTTATTAATTGTATACTACTTGGTCAAATGATTTTATACTAAAATCACAAATGAGTGTAAGAGGTAAGGAAATTTGATTTAAAAAAAAAAGGTTGAATCTTTGAGTTGCATAGAAACAAATTGTTCAGTAATTATTTCTATTTTTAATATTTCTAACGATTAGATTTTGAATAACTGGGAACGATTTTAGTATTTTTCTGAAATTATCCTGTGCTCTTTTTGGCTTATTTTGATTGATAATTGATAGTATTTCGATCATGCCATATTTGGGACAATACAAAATTTAATAGCGCATTAGCCTCATTCTTCATTACCATTTTGAATATTTAAATATCTAAATGGGATTCTGCCCTCAATCAAAGTTCCACATCTTGACTTTTTATATTTGCAGTATTCTTTTTTCTTCCCAACTCTTCTAATGGAAGTACGCACAAAATTTACTTTTTCTTTTATTTTAGGGACTTTTAAGCTTTAACATAGGTAATATCAAGCTGGCAAAAGAAAAACATGGGTAATATCAAAAGGTATAGAATTTTCAATAGAAAAAATTCAACCATCAAACACTTCGCTTTTAGCTAAAAATTCTCCACAGAAGCATTATCAATGTGGCACTAGGTAATTGGTAATGAGAAATTAATTAACATAATTTTCTAAAAAAATTTCAACAAAATAAACTAAGGAGGTGTTTGGATACCTTGAAAAGTGCTTTTCAGAAGCACTTTTCCGTAAATCAAGATAAATTTCTTCATATATTTACCTCGTAGATCGTAAAATCACTCTTAAAATTATGATTTGGTTTCTATCTAAACACTTTAAAATTTTTTTTTTGCAAACAAACATTCACCTTCTCAATTCTCATCCCCATGAGGTCAAAAACCCTTCTCACTCCCCAAAAAGGAATGACATGTCACAATATGATTGGTTTTTGGAATTGCAGGAAAGAGTTGATAGCAGAGGATCCAGGACTCTTGAGACGGGGAAGGCAACGTTTGACTTTTGCGTCCCCTTTGTAGTGTGTGTACGAACCAAGAATGGGGAAAGGGAGGGGAGAGAGAAAGACGTAGCTGAGGAGACATAAATGAGGTAAGAGAGAGAACGTGGGGCAGATCCGTCATTTGGTCACCATAAGCCGCCGAGAAAATATCGCACCGGTCACCGGGAATGGGCGGGAGCTGACAAATCAACCGGAGACCTCATTTATAGCTCAACGGGGGACACACCTGGTTTTGCTTGTACCACTCACTCATCCACTTTTGCTGGAGAGAGAGAAAGAAATAGAGAGACAATCAAAATAGAGAGACTTTAAAGGCCCTTCCTTTCTTGCTCGGAAAAAATGCTTTAAAAACCCCCATCAGTTACACTTATGAGAGACACTCTCTGTGAAAGTGGAGAAAGTGGTGGGTATAGAATAGATGGATACTATACATACACACATCATATCATATCATATTAGCTGCTAGCTGGTTTTAGTTTTTCTTTCTTTCTTTCCTTTGTTTCTCTCTTCGTAAATTAGGCCATAACTCCCTCCTTTCTCAAATCTCAAATCGTGCCGATATCTTTGATCAATCATTCAGCCGTTTCTCATATCGCTTGAGAATCTTCGGGTAAATGGGTATGTTTGTTCATTGGTGATTTGCAATTTGCCTCCTTTAAACGTAATGCTCTATTTTGTTCCCACCAAAAATCACTCTCCTCTAACCCTTTCTTCCTTCTTCTAAAGCTCCTTCATTTTTCCATACCCACAATTCAAATTTTACTTCTTTTAATCCTTCAATGTCATGAGACTCTCTGATTCACTGCTAAAACTATTACTATTTTTTCTGCTGCTACACTGAGTGAGTGAGAGAGAGAGAGAGAGAGAGAGAAGGCGGAATGGAGTACGGGAGTGGAGGCGGTGGTGGGTCCCCCGGGGACCACCATCACCACCACCACCACCTGCTGCACGACGGTTCTGATTCACAGAGGAACAAGAAGCGATACCATCGTCACACAGCTAACCAGATTCAGAGGCTTGAATCGTAAGTTATCGGCCATTTTGTTTGTTTCTTGTGGCATGAACGGTTAACTTTGGATGTTTGCTCCGATTTTTATGACCTCTTGTCTGTGTCTTTTTCGTGATGGGGGAATGAAAGAATGTTCAAGGAGTGCCCCCACCCAGATGAAAAGCAGAGATTGCAGTTAAGCAGGGAACTAGGCTTGGCCCCTAGGCAGATCAAGTTCTGGTTCCAGAACAGGAGGACCCAGATGAAGGTACTATTTTTCCCCCCTGTTTCCTCCGTCACTTCAAAATTATTGCAAGTGTCTTGTTGTTTTAAACTGTTGCTTGTTTTTGGTTGTGCAATTCAGGCCCAGCACGAGAGGGCTGATAACTGTGCCCTTAGAGCAGAGAATGACAAGATTCGATGCGAGAACATAGCTATCAGAGAGGCCCTCAAAAATGTCATTTGCCCTTCTTGTGGTGGCCCTCCTCTTCACGAGGATTCCTATTTCGACGAGCAAAAGTTGCGTTTGGAGAATGCTCAATTGAAAGAAGAGGTAACTTCAGAGAACAAAAATAAATTAAAAAACCTATCCTTGTTCTTCATCCTTCCACACTCGATTTCAAAACTTGTGTTAATTTTGCAGCTCGATAGAGTATCTAGCATTGCGGCTAAATACATAGGAAGACCGATTTCTCAGCTCCCTCCTGTGCAGCCTATTCATATTTCATCTCTGGACTTGTCGATGGCAAGTTTTGGGAGCCAGACTATGATGGGTGGTCCCTCCCTTGATCTCGATCTTCTGCCTGGGAGTTCTTCATCGGTTCCGAGCTTGCCTTATCAGGCGGCCTCATTTTCCGACGTCGACAAGTCCCTCATGTCTGACATTGCTGGAAATGCTATGGATGAGTTGCTCAGGCTTTTGCAGACTAATGAACCCTTGTGGATGAAGTCAGGCACGGATGGGAGAGATGTTCTTAATCTTGACGCTTACGGAAGCATGTTTCCCAGATCGAGTAGTCACCTCAAGAACCCCAATGTTCGGGTCGAAGCGTCTCGAGATTCTGGAGTTGTGATTATGAATAGCTTGGCTTTGGTCGACATGTTTATGGACCCTGTGAACCCTTCCTCCTCCTCCTCCTCCTCTTCTTATAACCGTTTCTTGATTATTATAATATCATGACTAATAAATTAATAATTCTTCAGAACAAGTGGATGGAGCTATTTCCCACCATAGTCTCGATGGCATCAACGATTAAAGTGATATCTTCTGGAGTGCTCGGTGGTCATAACGGCGCTTTGCAATTGGTACACTGAACGAACTCCAGTGTTATTAATTGTTTTTCTCCCTGAATTAAAATCTTCTGTCTGACATTCTAAATTTTGTATAATCAGATGTATGGAGAGCTTCAAGTGCTTTCTCCACTGGTTCCAACCCGAGAGTTCTATTTTCTGCGATACTGTCAGCAAATTGAGCAAGGCTCATGGGCGATTGTGGATGTTTCTTATGATTTTCCTCAAGACAACCAGTTTGCTCCTCAATTTCGGTCTCATCGATTCCCTTCTGGCTGCTTGATCCAGGATATGCCTAATGGGTATGCTAAGGTCGGTCTTGTCTTCTCCAATTCCACTCAAATTATAAGCGTACTTTGATTTCCGATACCCAGAAAAGGCAATCTCCATAAACTAATTTATTCTCAAACAGGTGACTTGGGTTGAACACGTAGAGATTGAAGATAAAACACCAATTCATCGTCTTTATAGAAACCTTATTTACAGTGGTTTGGCATTCGGAGCAGAAAGGTGGCTTGCTACACTTCAAAGAATGTGTGAAAGATTCGCTTGTTTAATGGTTACTAGCAATTCAACTCGTGATCTTGGAGGAGGTAATAATAATATATATATATATATATATATATAATAAACACATGTGCCTCGTTGCCGTATAATATCTACCCGTGATGTTTAAGGTTTCTTGCTTTACTATGAATATTGTGTTGTTTAAAATTTCAGTGATTCCCTCACCGGAAGGCAAGAGGAGCATGATGAAACTTGCTCAAAGGATGGTCACCAATTTCTGCACAAGCATCAGTGCATCTAACGGCCATAGATGGACTACGCTTTCTGGGTTTAACGACATCGGCGTCAGAGTCACCGTCCATAAGAGCTCCGATCCCGGCCAACCAAACGGCGTCGTTCTCAGTGCAGCCACCACCATCTGGCCCCATTCCGCCCCAGACCGTTTTCAATTTCTTCAAGGACGAAAGGAAAAGACCTCAGGTGCCTATAAAATGCTTCAATATCTCACATTTTCATATATATGTATATAATTGTTTAATGTTGTGACATTCTTTTGTTTAGTGGGATGTTCTTTCGAACGGGAATGCTGTGCAAGAGGTTGCTCATATAGCCAATGGGTCTCACCCTGGGAACTGCATATCTGTTCTTCGAGTAAGACACAGTTCCTTGTATATTTATATATTTCGAACTTACACTTTTGTTTTCTTTTGATGACAAGAGATGTATATTAACTATTAGGCCTTAACGTTCCATGACCAAGTGTGATGAAATGAGGGCTAAGTTTGACTTCCACTAAACTGGATAATGTTTTTTGTTGGGTTGACTTTGATTCTTGACGTTAACATTCATTCACATGTAATAATAGGCTTTCAACACGAGTCAAACAAACATGTTGATACTGCAAGAGAGCTGTGTGGACTCATCAGGATCCCTCGTGGTGTACTGTCCGGTGGATCTTCCGGCAATCAACATCGCGATGAGCGGCGAGGACCCATCGTACATCCCGCTGCTTCCGTCGGGGTTCACGGTGTGTCGCCGGACGGGCAGGTGGAGCAAGGCGGAGGAGACGGAGCGTCAAGCAGCTCAAGCACAGGAAGGAGATCAGGTGGTGGGTCACTGATCACGGTGGCGTTTCAGATTCTGGTGAGCAGCCTGCCATCTGCGAAGCTGAACTTGGAGTCAGTGACGACCGTTAATAACCTCATCGGCACCACTGTGCAGCAAATTAAAGCAGCCTTGAATTGTCCTAGTTCCTGATTGATTCATGATCATCACTACACCCATACCCAAAGAAAAAAATTTCAAAAAAGAAAACGTTTATATTTTTTGTTGGGATTTAAAATTTTTTTTGGATGTTTGTGTTATTGAATTTAGTGGTGGAAACTGGAGTGTCCTTAAATATGGTGATCAGAGAAGGGGTTCAGAGATCAGAGACTGTTTGGTGGGGATTGGAGAAGCGTATTGAAGGCAGTTTTGCGGAGTTGGTTGAGGAATATGAATGCAAAATGAAGAGAAGAGCAGAAGAAGAAGAAGAAAGGCCTCCCATCATTTACTGCTGCTCTTTTTGCTGCCTTCATTACATTACTCTCGCCCCCGCTTCCTTCCATATTTCTTTTTGTCTTTTTGTTTTGTTTTTGTTTTGGGTGGAAAGGGCTGGCTTTTTTTTTTTTTTTGAAATCTTTTTAGGAATTGTTTGGAGGAAGAAGCTGAAGATGAAGAACGAAGAGTGAGTCAAGAACGCACCATACGTGGTCGATGATGAAGAGTACTATGATATTTCTGCAGAATAGGATCTGCTTGAAGAATATGTATGGTTCGGGTATTGACTTTCTGTTCATAGACCTTTTAATTCATATCACTTTTATTTTTCACAGTGCAACTCTCTCTGCGGTTGGCTTTTAGTTTACTTCCTCCTCTTTATATTATGAGCTTCATTATTTATCGATAATAAAAAATGAGTTAAGAGTCATAAATAAATTAAAAATATAATTTTATTTTCAATTATATTTTTTTAATAAATGAGAAAAATAATGAAAGAGAATGAGTGAAAAAATATGACAAGAGAAAGAATAAATGATTAAGTGTTAATATAATATTTGATGATGAAATTATATAAAACCTCCCTGAAATATGAGTTTGACATTTAAAGTTTAAATTTAACATCTCTAACCTTTTATCTTTTTAACATATGCCCCTTACTGTTTAATAAAAGACATGTGGCACTTGTATGGCATCCTACATGGCATTTGATAGTTTTATATTAATTATATGTTTTTCACATAGGATTAAATTGTCATTTTATCACCAAAATAAACCCTTCTTCTCCTGGTGTATCGTCGCCGTCTTCAAATGTCTTAATGGGCTTCAGAACATCAAAACTGATATGCGAATGGCCGAACTCTTCCTGTATTCAGGAACACGCAATTCCAATTAACGCAAATAAATTCAAATGGGGACGATAAATATGAGCGAAGCAATAATTATAATTAAGCTAAGCTATACTTTATTCCAAAAGCCTCCATATAATCAATAACTTATCTGATGTGTAAATGGAGAAAAAAATTTAAACCTCTACTTTTTAAATCCCAAATGAAAAGAGGCATAAAGAAATTTAATTTAAGGAAGACAACAAACGATATGTGCGAGCAAATTTAAGTGACTGATTTTTAGATCCAATCATGAGTTTTGGCAATGTGAGTGTTTGTGCAATTACCCGATATTGAATGTTTCTCCTCGCAAAAATCCATGTTAAAGGGCTCGTACTCAATTGAATTGTGATCCAGAGGAGAAATAGGCTCAATTTTCTTCTTGTGGACAATAATGGGGTTGTCGTGAGAAACTAGGAGAAGGGGGGTTTACTTTAATGATAAAATGACGGTTTAGTCTTTATGTGAAAAATATATAATTAGTATAAAATTATTAAATGCCATGTAGGATGTCATATGACATGTCACATGTCTTCTATTAATCTGACTTGACAATCTTTGTTAAAAAGATAACAGTAAGTTAACGGGAAGGGCTTGTGTTAAAAAAAATAAAAGGCTAGGCAAGTTAAATTTAAACTTTAGAATGTCAGGGAAGTTATATGCAACTAACTTATAGTTCAAGAGGGTTTTATATAATTTAGCTATAATTCTTGGTTCCTCAGGTTTGGTTTCATTTTGGTTTTGGTCCATCAAATATCATACTATAGGTTTTGGTCTTTCAAAGGGTAAAATTGTCCAGATTTTTATTAGATTATGGGGGTCAATGACCCAGTGTTAAATAAAAATGAATTTGAGAGGCCCAAACCTGTGGTTTGAAACTTGAGGGATCAAAACTAAAATCGCAAACTTGAAGAATCAAATATTATATTTACCCAATAATTAAAGACAAGTTAAAAAAGTGCGTTAAATGTTAAAAAAATCACAAAATTATCATACTTTTTTTCAAATTTAAAACTTATAAATAGGATGGAAGGAGTATTTGTTTAGTACTCCCTCTATCTCTTTTTATAAACAACATTGGAGTTCATCATGTAGATCAAAATGTTAGTTAAAATTAGTTAAAAACAATAAATATGTAAAAATTAGAAATTCTTTCACTAAAATGCTTTTATTTATGAGGGACGGAGTATAAAAAAAGAATAAGAAAATATTATAATAAAGAGAATTTGAAAGAGAGAAAATGTGTGATGGAGAGATAATAATTTGAAAAATAAAATAATAAATATATTGAATATTAAAATAAGTAATTAATAAGGCAAAACAGAGAATTTGTTATAAAAATTTAAGACAACTTGTAAATGTTACTTATATCTAGAAACAAAAAGAAGATATTTATTATTGTTTATAGAAAAGGACTGAGGGAGTATGTTTCTCACACAGATGGAGATTATATGAAAATGGTGCTTGGTATTTTTATTCCTTTTGATTTTTTTTTTAAAATGTCATAGCCTCTCACTATTTCAATTATTCGCGGATCGTTTGGACCCCCATTGGGTTTAGAAATAACTAGAAATAGAAATTGCAAAAAAACAAATTAAAATTAGCCACTGATGTGTACTTAA